ATTCCTCTGGTGCTGCGTTTATCATCTGGCCGTTGTTAAAGTCTCGAATCGAAACTTATGAGTTGGTTTTAGCTCCTGTCATTGAGTTGACTTTGAACTGACTATCTTTATTGAAAATTTTATCTGAACTTCGGAGTTGATCAGAGGTCATGTGTTGACCTTAGGGTTTCACATCGATGGGCGTTAACTTTCATCACAACACGTTGACGGGCATTGACTTTCATCGCAACGTGTTGACAGGCGTTGACCTTGGGCTACGCATTGACCGGCGTTGACCTTAGGGTTTTGCATCGATCGTCGTTGACCTTCATCACAACGTGTGGACCGGCATTGACTTTCATCACAATGCATTAACCGATATTAACCTAGGGCTACACGTTGCCCGGCGTTGACCTTAGGGTTTCGCATCAACTGGCATTGACCTAGGGCTACGTGTTGACCTTCATTACAACATGTTGACCGGTGTTGACCTAGGACTATGCGTTGACTGGTGTTGACCTTAGGATTTCACATCGATCAGCATTGACTTTCATCGCAACGGCCAATAACGGGGGAAAATAGGCGAACAAATCAGCATAAACGGCACTTGAGGAACTTTTCATTGGCCTGGAGACAGTGAAAGTGTCTCGGCCTTGGCCGAGACACTTTTAGTGTCTTGGTCAAGGTTCATGAGTCCCTCCCCCCCCTATGTGGTGATTTGACTTTTCCTATGCAAGGGTGTAGGCTTTTATCTAAGGGTTTTGTCCTAGAGTACTCCTATTGTCTAAGGGTTTTCTTCAAGCTCCCCTATTCAAATTCCCAAAACTAGTTTTCCCCCCTTCTCTTTTCTTCTTCTTTCTCAAACTCCCCCATTCTCTTCCTCTTACCCAAACTCTTCTCTCAAACCCATAACTTCTTCTTTTCAAGAGTTCTAAAGCCCTTCAAACTCTTGCTCTTTATAACCCTAAACCCCTCAAAAGAAATTCGGTTTTCCTCTTTCCCATTGGCCGAAATTTTTCTCCTCTCAAAAGCTAGGGTTTTATCGGATCATCAAGTTCAAGACTTGGGCTCTTGAGTTAGGTTTTGAAGCTTTCAATTTGGTAAGCTTCTCTCTAAGGATACTCATTGTATGCTTGATTTTTGATCCAAGACTCCATGGATTTTGTAGAAAAGATTGAAACTTTATTCTTGTAGTGTAGGTATGTAACCAAGAGTTCATGAATTTGTTTGCAAAGATTGTGACTTTTTTCTCTCATGAAATGAGTTTTGTGAAAAAGATTCAATCTTGAAGGTGGGTTGTGAATATGGCCAAAATTTATAGGGGTTTTCATGCACTTGAGGCTGAAATTCTTAGGGGGCTTTTGTGAAAAAATTGGCTGAAATCTTTGAGGGGATGTTATGCAAGAGGACTAAAATTTTGGGGCTTGGATTGTATGTCAATTTGGTCAAAACTTTGAGGGGTGCTTCATGTAAAAAGGCCAAAAATTGATGAGGGGTTTATTTGCAAAAAGTGGCCAAAAATTGTTATAGGGCTTATTTGCAAAAGGCTGGTTGCACACACATGAGTATCCCAAGGGGGATTTTGACAAGCGTTGAGCTGATTACAATTGAGTTAGGATTGTTTATTAACATGTTGTATATCGTTGATGAGCATAGCTCGGTACTATTTAGGATAGTGCGTCGATGTACCAGATATATACAGTTTATAGAGAATATCTTCTCGGTCTGTCATATTGACATCCCACCTTCGTTCCTGACTTAAACTAGAGATTACATTTGATGCTTGTAGGCTGTCTAAAAATTACAATGAATAGCTGACCCCTATCAAGCTCCGACAAGGGAAGTCACAATCAGACGACTTTCTAATCATTGCATCCGCAACTCCACAATCGCCATAAACACGACCTCATTTCTGAGATGATTGATCTTGATGGCTGCGACAACAGCATGACTAATATTATATTAGCAATTATTGGAGATGCTGATGAGCAGTGTAATGATTGGACGTAGCTGGTGAGTTGCTTGGTAGAGAGCTGTGGGCAAATATTCTCTTCAAAACACTATGGATGTTGATTCCCGTCAAGCTCCCACAACGAAAGCTACAATCAAATAGCTTTCTGGTCGACAAGCGAAAGCGGCGAATAGAGGATTTTTCACATAGGTCGAGAAGAGTTACAATTCAACGACACTTCCGACAATTGATGAAAACTCTACTCAGCAGTCTTCACATTTTGCAGTAAAAGTTACAATCTGACGATTTTCACACTCCACAACAGCTAAAGCTAGGATTACTGAACAACGGTCCTCGCAACGTTTCACAGAAGAAGTTACAAGTCAAAAAGCTTCTTCTGAAACGCGGATGTCATCCCCGCGTTACAATTCTGGAAGTGCAGGCGACCCCCGCATTTCAAGATACAAGATGAACGTGAGCGACCCTCGCGTTCGTAGGGGTCCAACCAACACCGACCCCCGTGTTTCCAAGCAGGCAACAAGCCAAAACGCGAGCGACCCTCGCGTTCAATGATGTTCAGCTAACACCCAATCTCGCGTCTCAATTCTAAGAGGCGAAGTTGGGTGCTAAACGCCAGATTGGACGTTTGACTCGTTCAAACATGAGTCGAACGGTTTCAGAACCGTTTATCCCACGTTCTGAGGAATTTTCGCCCACGTAGGAGCGGATATAGGGGTCAGTTACAACCTCCTATCCCCCTATAAAAGCTCACGAACCCAACAGAAAAAGCTCAACGAACCCAACAGAGCAAAGGGTTGGATTTTTGGCATCTGAACTACACAGGTTGGATGCTAAAGATCTAAACCATACAGGTTGGAGATTTTTGAGTTCTAAAATAGATAAGGGCTGGCGGCTGGCTCTTTGAAAAGAGAAGAGTTAGCAAAGATCGGATTTGGAAGATCTCAACCACTCAGGTTTTGGCGATTCAACAGCAGCAGCGAAATCCTTGGAGATAGGATTTTTGAATCAAGCTCAGAAGATCAAATCTGAGAGGATTCTTCAACAACAGAATAACGGCTTGATCATTAACCGAATTTTCGGTTCTAACAACTCTATTCACAGAGTTCTAACTCGTTCAGAGTTCTTAAACTCATTCAGAGTTAAACATCAAACTTTCCACAGAAGTTCATCGTTCCCACGAGAAAAGAGACGGTCGGATCGTCAACGGAGAGCAAATTCGACGCGAGCAATCGAAAGAGGCATTCCATCGCTACCGAGAAGAACCCAGTTTTAAACAAAGGAGAGAATCAAATTCGTTCTCTTCTCTTTTGTAATCAAGTTGTAATCGGAATCAAAGAAATACAAGTCAATTTTCTTTATTCTTTTCATTGCAATTTTTCCTCCAAACAGAGGTATTGGTCCCGAAGCCGTCCTTAATGCGGGCATGGTAGGCTCCTTAGTAGAGCCGGCTTCGCGGGTCACGTACAAGTGATCTATCTTGTGTGTCATCCTTGGGGACAAGGAGTCGACTAGTCGGCAGAGTCGGACTTCGGGGCCGGGCCTGCCGATGCGCTGAAGGAGATCCTTATTCGAGCTTGGGCTGTTGGGCCAGCTTGATGCCGCGCACAACTTGGTACGATCTTGCCATTACTGTACTATAAGCGATTGACACCATAACAGTGACTAACATGAGAAACACCTAAATTTATTTGAGATTTTTTAAATAAACTAGTGTGATATTTTCCCCCGCTACAGTAATCTCGGTTTTAACTGCTATAGTGTTGTTGATGCTCGTGAACAAACAGTCGATGGGGGTTGCAGAGTTGCTGGATCGTCGAGAGGGATGGAGGGCCGCTTTCCTTCTTCGACTTTATGCTTGGTTCTCAAAGCTCGGGGTGGACGGATCACCTGTACACACTAGAATCACGGGAGTACGGGGCCTGTTTCTCCCGTGGTATGGACTGATAGCCTGCACATGCAAGAATCGCAGGAATACGGGGCTAGTTTCCCCCGTGGTATCTCCGACGGTCAAGTCAGTTGGTAAACTTGGGGAGGATTTTTTGAGAGGCCCCTGGGCCATTGAGGTCCTTGCAGGGGTTTTTTCCTCTAGAATTATTAAAATGCTTTGGATAAAAAGGATCCCGAAGGGGAGTAAAGCTAAAGTGTAAGAAGAAGAAGCAGAGATCCAACCTTCTTTCAGGATGAATAACGTCTGTATTTCCAGAGGATGCCAAGGGCAGAACATGTATTTAGTGAGGAGGCGGCTCATGATGATGGCGAGGGTGAGCTGGAGGCTGTGTCATCCTCTGCCCTATTTGTGTCGGTTGATGAGTGATGGCGGGTCACTTCAGCGACATATGGAATCAGCAGCTGTTGAGGCTTGTCAGCGGGTGATGTGGAGTCACTTCTGTGGCATGGGGAATCAGCAGCCGTTGAGGCTTGTCTGCGGGTGACATGGAGTCGTAATGATGACCATAAATGGTAAAATAATGCTGAGAAGTAATGTTCTGAGTCGCCTTCGAGGAAAGTGTCGGCCGGTTGCTGAGTAGCAATCTTTCGCCCGACTGAGTCTGCCTTTCGAGTCGTCTTTGGGGAGTGACGCCAGCTCGACTGGGTCTATTCTCGGGATAACATATTTGTATAAGTAACAGGGAACACCCCATAACAAAGTGTTTTTTGAATTGCTACAGAATCCCACCTTTGCTACAATATTCCCGTGTGCTATAGTAATATTTTTTCAAAAAAAAGCCTACACCGTCCAGTTTCATGTTTCGTACAGTAATAAAGCTACATTAAATGTTAATGTAGCATTTACTATAGTATGAATAGTAAATCTTGGGTTCTCCCGTTTGTATAGAGGAGTAGATATTGTAAAACATACAGAGTATTTCCCTTTTAGTGATATTTTATCCATTGTCGGAGTATTGGCAAGTAAATTAGCAAATATTTAGAGTTGGGAGTAAATTTGCAAATTATAATAGATTTGAGAGGTATATACGCTAAAACCCGAAATATATTGATGATTAACTTGGGTCCAGATAGAGTAATTTATCTACCCGACCCGATAGAAGTCTGTTTCTTCTCTCCATGATAAAAGGCAAAAGCAAAATCAGAGCTCTCTGATTCCAGAGATCATCTATCAAAGTCTCCTCTTTTTCCTTTCTTCAAGATGTCTGTCCTCAATTCGATCTTCAATAGAACCACTTTTGGTACAAGATGGTCAGTCTTCAATACCCAATTCCTTTTCTTTACATTTATTTTTTGATTTTTGTTTCGTGAAATTTAATTGTAATTTTTTTGCCTTATTGATGCTCCGTGTATGAGATAATCTGAACGGGTTTGTGTCAATTCAACTGAGATTCAATATATAAGTCATTTATATTGCAATTTCTGTGATGGGTTTGGAGGAAGAAGTAGTAAATGAGGGGCTTTTGATTAATTTAGAATTAGGGAGTATTAAGCAGTCTAATCTATTAATATTAGAGGGGTTTTCTACGTAAAATCTATTTTTTCTGGAGAGTTTGTAGGCCAATGTACTTGGATCACTAGAACTGAACTTTGAACTCTCAGCATGTAATGACTGCTCTCTATCTTTCAGACTTTGGTCATGAGAAAGAAGGATTCTGCACTAACAGTTTGAGGGTTAGCTTTCACTTTTGGAGGCTCAGACCTCTAGTCTAATCATCTCATTATGGTGAATTTCAAGAAACTAATGTCAGATTTCATGGTATTTTTTTTTCTTTTTAGTTAAACTTAACTATCTTGTGTTTCGTTAATGTGATTTTCACAAAACAGTCCAAAAGCATACAAGTAAGTATCACCAAATAAATACTAAATCAATACAGAAGAAACAAAATAAATAGCTGAAAGTGACGGGAAAGCATAGGATTCTGGATGAACTTTGTCCGTCCATCTCCCCACCAAACAGACACTAGTCATCTGTCTCAAAATTGGTATCCTCCCCCATGGCTCGCAATTACATCATTAATGTTTACAATACCGTCACTGGAGAGACTGTGATCTCCCAATTGCTGAATTAACCTATATGCTTTCGCTCTAGCTGCTCTTGTAAGATTGGCACACTATAGTTGGACGTTCTCATGGGGTTTTCATGAAGCTGCTATGAGCTATTCTCATTTTAGTCTACTACACAGAGCTGCCATTTGTTACCTTTGTTAGGTTAAATGTTTACATGACTCGCACACAACAAATTCTGGATAAGAATTCCCTCCAAGTGTTCTATGTATCTCCTTCTCTATCTACTTTCATATCCATGTATGTGTATAGCAACTCAGATTAGCCTTTTAAATACCACCATTAACGCAATAGGTTTTATCAATTTCGAAGTTAAAAGGCAGCAAAATAAAATAAAATAGTTCGAACTTGTTTCTTAAAAATCCATAAACTTAATCATAGTTTGTGAAATTTATTTTCAACAATATGGTTTCGTAAGGACTATTTAAAAAAAATATTATCAAAGGTTTGCAGTGCATTCCGAACATTTAAATGACATGATCCTCAGAATTCTAGGCCACTTATCTAATGAAGTTTAAACTTAATCACAGATGAAATTAGTTAGCACCTTTGCTTTGAAACACATCTAATGGTTAGTAGCATGAAAACAAATTACTCTATACCTTGTAATAATTCATTTGTGGAATTTGAGTTGTAGAAGTAACAATATTTCAAGTGATACAACTTTCATAAAACAATAATGGAATCAAGGATACTCCATAAGTAAATTGTTTCGCATAGCAAATTGTTTACAATATGTTATATATTCAAGCAATATTCCCCAATAAGTTTAATTTAAACCAAACAATTATCGTGACGCCTAATATTTAATAGTTACTTGCTTTCACTGTGGTCAAAACTAGCCTGTGTTTCATTTTTAGAGCATATTTTTTATTGTCAAAACTGGCCTGCGTTTCATTCTGAAAGCATATTGTTTATTGATCACGCATTTTATTAAAGCATCCACTGAACTTCAGTAGACAGTATGTGCATTATAGTGCTCTTTACTGTATGTGAACTATGGTTTTCAAGCTTTGTGGTTGTTTTAAGTGAAGAATCTTCGAACCTCTCTGAAACTTTCTGAATGATCCTTGAATTCTCTAATGAAAGTATCAATACATTAATTGCATGCTTTTACTGCCTTTTCTATTGAAATTAAATATTTAAATTTGTTGTTCTCAGTCGCAATATTTGTAACATGGATCGGTTTTAATAGACATACAATGTAATTTGAGTCTATTAAAAGATATATGTGTAATAGTTTACACTAGCTTGGGAGCTTATAAAATAAAATATTTCTTCACTTCTACCAGCTTGTACACACTCATGAACATACATGTTTGCAGGTGCTATTATCCAACCATGTTGCTTCATAGGGTTTAAAGATATTCTTTCGTGTTTCCTTGCCTGAGGGAGATCTCATGCACTATGTTCCACACATACAATAATTGTCCAAAATTTAGCATCAGAGTGATAAAATCCAATTAATATATCACATGGAATAAGTCAAATTTTGTGTAACAATATTCATTTTCTCAATGGTTGAAAACAGAAAACTATTTATTTTGCTCACACTCTGTGTGTGCACGTGCGTGCGTGCATGTGGGTGTGTGTGTTGGGGAGCGGTGGCGCACAAGTTTCCTTCAAGTTTCTTTTTTTAATATTGGTATAATGCACGTGCTTTGCACGTGAACATACATGTTAAGTTATGAATTTTTTATTGAATAGTAAAAAACTATGTGTTAGTAAATAAAACTGGATAATAAGATATTAAGATTGCTTAAAAAGAAATGTATGAGTTAACTATTATTATGTAGTTATTGTAATTGAAAGTTTTTCTTATAATGATCACCTAATGCTAACTTTTTTTTAATAAGTCCCCCAAATCTAAAATTGTTCTTAAATAAAACTGTCAATTCTATAAGTTTGTAAATATGCCCCTCAACTCGAAAGTTATTAACTTAAGTCATAATTAATTAAACTGCATTAATCTTGCTATTTTTTCTTGATATTCCCTAGATAGTTACACTTAATACTCGTAACATATGGTAATAATTACTTCTAATTATAATTCTCTAAATTAACTAAGCTGCATTAATCTTGCTAGCTTTTTTCCTGATGTTCCCTAGATAGTTACACTTAATACTTGCATATTGCAATAGTTACTTTTCATGATAATTATTTAATAAGGTAAATTACACTAAACCCTTATGAACTTTCAACCCATATATGGCTATGGAATTTTAAAATCACAATAAACCCCTAATAACTTTTTTGTTTCAATAAAAACCCCAAATAACTTTCTAAAATTTGCAGATAACCCCTATAAATTAGAACTATAAAATGGCATAAAAAGACATTTTGAAAGTTATTGGGGTTTGGTGTAATTTATCTAAAAGATATTAGGGGCTTTCTACAAAAGTTATTAGGGGTTTAGTGAGTTCATAGGATCTATTTACTGCAAAATGCTGAAAATTCATGGGGTTTACTGTAATTTACCTTATTTAATATTATAATTCTTAGTTCAAGATACTATTAAAATAATTATACTGTCTATATACTATAAAATATTTATCTAATTTAATTTTTTTAAATTATGCTCTTAAATAACTTAGTACTATAAATATTTTATAAATTTTTATTATACTATCATTAACAATTAATAGTACTGTTATTAGAATTAGATATTTTGCTATAATTCAATTAGCAAAATAGAATAACATAGTACTAAATACTATTGATAATTTTAATTATTTAGGAAGTTGAGGAGGTGCATAATTAATAAAAGGTTATATTTATTTAATAAATGATTAATTAGAGATAATGGTATAGTTATAATTTATCAAAATTTGAGAGGGCAAAAAAGAAAATTAGAAGTTTTAACACTTAATTCCTCTTTTTATAGTGGTATAGATATCAATTTTGGTTGGATTAGTTATTATTTTAATCTCTGAGTAGACCCATCTCCCATAATTGGCTTGTGGAATTTTTTTTCAGTACCCATATTATCCATATTTATGAGACATTACTGTTGGAAAGAGTCTGATGTGCTTGTTCCTGTTATTTCTCATTGCCTTTCTAGCAAAACTTGCTGTAATCTGGCTATCTCACGAATCAAATTGTTGCGTAATAAGAGAGAGGCACAACTCAAACATATGCGGAAAGAAATCTTTGACTATCTTAGGACTGGCCAAGAAGCTGTTGCTCGAATTCGAGTATGTTTACTTTCTTAGTTTACTTCTGTTCTTCTCTAAAGTTTTAACCAAATTTCTGAATTATTTTGTTTTTTGAATTTATTTTTAGGTGGAGCACATCATTCGTGAAGAGAACATAATGGCTGCTTATGAGATTTTAGAATTGTTTTGTGAATTTGTTCTTGCACGTGTTCCTATTCTTGAAACTCAGAAGTAATTCTCTACCTTGGAACTTCTTCTAGCTTACAAACTGAAGAGAGTTTGTTTCTTATTTTATTTACATTTTCTATTTATGGAAACAAAATAAGGTCTGGTTCATGAAATGAAGCCTTTTAATTACTTGGAAACAAAATAAGGTCTGGCTCCAGCCAGCTAGTCTTATCTATTTGTAAGTGCAGCATAAAAATAGCTAGAAATAGCCCCTTAATCTTCAGCTCAGTTATTGTTCATGAACAAATTGATCGTCTACTTAGAAGCTTTAGCGTCTGTAATTGATTAAAATCACCACTATTTATAATGGTCTTACGAATACACATGGGTGATGTGTATCCATACATGTTCGTAAAATGTGTAAATTCATACAGATAGATACGTAGTTATATGCCATATAATAATATAAATTGTGCTATTCGTAGACACAACTAATATGTATTCCTTACCTGGCTTGTAAAACTTTTGTTTGTTCCTTGTAGGTGGTAAATATCTGTTATCAAAGTTAAATTTATATCAAGCAAAACTCAAGCATGTCTGCATATTTTATCATATTCTACACATGATCAAAGATCAAATAAGAAACACTTTGTTTAGCTCTTCCTTTCAATAAAATTTCTTCCAAATATTTTGTATTCATGCATCAGATATATTTTCACTCCTCATGTTACTGCTTAGTATTGTCTTCTGTGTTCTGCAGTGGTAGGTTGTGACCTGCAATATAAGGGGTTTTGCCTATCATATCTGTAAATTTATCCCCCAAATCTTCATCTTTACCAATTTCCCCACAAAATCATCTGGATTCTCTTAACTTATCCCTCCACTTAACCTCTGTTGAGGCCACAGGGGTAGCTAGTGGACCCGCAACAATTGAGGGTTTTACATATCATATCTGTAAATTTATCCCCCAACTCTTCATATATTCCCTATTTACCGCCAAAATCTTCTCAATTCCATTAGCTATTCCTCAACTTCACTCTGCTAGATTTGTAACAGGTTTTGAATAACATTCATACCCACCCTTATCTTCTACCTTCTAAAATATAGAAGAAGCCTGAAAATAAAATAAGAAAGGGAGAGAGGTAAAAAAATGTTCATTGGTAATGTTATGCAAATTTATTTTGTTCGAGAATTTATCATTGATATTTATAATAGAATCTTTTGATATATTTTAGTTATTTTGACATCTTTTCGTTCTGTCAAAGGAGTAAGGATATTTTTAGGTTTTCAGTCATTGGAGGCAACATTTTTTTTTACATTTGTTTAGATTTAGTTTCTTCTGGTAAGGATTTTATTGAAAAGAGAGGCTTAGCCTTCTTCTCGTAATCATTGAGGTGAAGATCATGATGTATTGAGTAAAGAATTGAAAGGTGAACAAGTTTTCTTCTCATTATTGACTTGGCCATTCAATGGAATATTCCCAATTGTAAAGCCAAGTTATTGTTTGAAGCCACCTCTGATCTCCACTTGAGTGTCTATCTCGTGCATGCTTGTGTGAGGTGAGAAAGTGATAATTTGTGGGGGAAGGATACGCTAGGGGAGGCAATGGAGTGATAATTTGAGTGATAACTGATATGATTGTTATAAGATAAATATTCAGAGGTGTGTGTGGTTGTGAATATGAGATGGTGAGTGGCATGAAGATTTTTTGTCCCATGCCGTGGAAATTGGGGTTTTTTTGGAGGGGGTAGACGCGACGAGACTATGGCAATTTTCTATCATCAATATATTTTCCTATCACAATATGTTTTTTTATTTAAATTTCCAATTCTTTCAGCATTTAAGAGGCAGTTCTTAGAAGAATCTGAACATAAAATATGTATATTTTCCATGAAATTGCACACCTACACGCATTAGGTAAGAAATTCATATTGTACACTTCCATGTGGTCTATGATTTATCTTGAAAGTATGTATTGCATGACCTTTGCTATTACTTTCAGTTGATGTTGATTTTGTTATATAACCTTGTTTTGATGACAGGGAATGCCCAATAGAATTGCAGGAGGCTATTGCTAGTATTATTTTTGCTTCCCCAAGATGTTCAGATTTGCCTGAATTGTTGCAGATTCGGAACTTATTTACTGTAAAATATGGGAAGGAATTCGTTTCAGCTGCTTCTGAATTACGACCTGATAGCAATGTTAATCGCTTGGTATGTAAATCTGTTATATTGATGTATAAACTAATATTTAAGTAAGAAATTTGTTTGGAATACTGTGATTGCTCGCATATAATTCTGAAAACTGAGTTGTAATAATTGGTACACTTTGTCTAGATTATTGAGAAACTTACTGCGAGAGCACCATCCGCAGAGGTAAAGCTGAAGACGTTGAAGGGTGTAGCTCAAGAGTTTAATCTAGATTGGGATTCATCCAGCACTGAGGCAGAGTTTACTAAGAAGCACGAAGATTTGCTGGTATTTCTTTTGGCAACTTTGTTTCAAAATATTTCTTTCTCGTTGCACTAATCATTCTTTTATATCAAAATATCTAGATATTAAAATTGTTTTTCTTGTAAATTCTGCATACATGAACAATACAGAGAATAATTTTGCTCTTTTTTCCTTTCTTTTTGGTTAATTGGTATCCTTGAAGTCATTAATATATACTTATCTTATGAAGTAGTGACGTGCTATATCAGATAACAAAAATTCCATTTCCCATCTTTTAGTACCTTTATTCAATGTATTTGTACTTGATTCCTATATAAGCATTTCATTTACTTTCCATCATTTGGTGTTCCATATTCTTACACCCTTTTTCAGATATTGTCATAGGTTCATTATATATTTCTTTCTCTCTTTTTTTCCTCCCATCTGAGGTGCTAATCTATAAGTTAAGCATTTCTCCAGTATAGGCAGAAAGCCTCTGCTATTAGTCTGCATATTCTATTTTGAGGGGTTTGTGGTTTCCTGATCATCTCACAATCTCCTCAACCTCCTGGGTCAATAAGCAGCTACAAACTTTTCCTTTATCTTGCAAACTATATGACGAATCACTTCTAACTTTGAGCTCTGGATGATTTTGTCACGAGAATAGATGCTCAATTAAATCAAAAGTAAGATTCAGTTATTATCTGGCATATCATAATGTTTAAGATTCCAGGGCATGAATGCTTGCAGCCTTCTGTAGAGAACTTCATTAAGAATTTACAATTTGGCATCTTATATCCATCTTGTCATATTCTTTTGCATTTGCATACATTCCTTTACAAAGTTGAAATTTATAATATACATGTATAGTGAACACACACCTGGGATAATACACAACAGAACTCCATATAAATAATAATCTAACCGCTCATTTTGATCTATACATCATGAAACATTAGCGGATAAAAGTCATGTGGTTTGGAATATTCTTCCTACAATATAAACAACTCAAAAAGCAAAACAAGCTTTTAAGACCGTTGCACTCTTGCAGATCATTCATTTTTAGGTAGTGAAACATATATCTTAAACAATTTCAATTCACATGATTTTAGATCCCTGTGAGTTTTATAATGAGGACGGTGGACAGTTTGGATCATCAGTGTACATGATATAATTTGAATTTTCATAGTTAGGTGTAAACTTCTTAGTTACTTTCTATTTGTATTATAACCTTATGCCATAGTTTACAGGTACATGGCACGTAGTGAGTCGTGCTACGAATTTGGCTACGCAATTCACCACTTAGCTGTTTTTGATTCGAGGGGGTAGGTTACTTTGGTACACAAGTTCGGTACATGTATTAGAGTCTCCTTCTTCCATACTTTATCCTGCTTTTCAAATTATGTCCCATGTGTCTACCTCATGTTTTTGTACGGTGTCCGTGTCCGTGCTTCTCCCTAGTAGGAGTTAGAGAATGCTCCATAGAGCTGTGGGACATTTTACGATATAGAGCGTACTATTGTCTATGTTACCTGGATACTCCTAACTGTAGCCATGACCTTACCCGACACATACCCATACTCTTTTTCCTATCCAAAGTCCTCAGACGCTCCTTTCATATATGAATACATTTATTCGGGCATGTACTCACTTATGCAGTAAATATGTTTAAGATAAAACACTTCTCATGCGCTTCTTGGATGTATATTGTACGCATATCCTACATATGCACTTCCTGGAACTTGCTGGAAAGGGGTCGGGTGGGCTTTCAAACTATTATATTAAAGTGTCATTAGGGTGTCTAGTTCAAAAATGATGGTTTTTCCAATCTATAATCCATATAATAAAAGAAATATAAAAAATATAGGAATTTTAATTCTCACACATGAATTAAAAATATATTGATCTCATGTAAATTATTAATTTCAATACAGTATATGCATGCCTATATAAGTATCTATATGCAGTCTATATATCCATGTCCCTGTACCCTATCTTTTACAAATTTTCTGTGTCCCATACGCATACCGGCACTAATACCTCCACCCGTTTCCATGTAACTTAGTCTATGGTAACATGAACAGACCTAGAGTCAAATCTCCAATTGACGCTATATAACAGCATGATGTCTACTTGACTGTTTTGTCCCACCTAAAGTTTCCACTATGAATATGCAAGTAAATGCAGGTCATATGAGTAAATGTATCTGATCATAGAAATATTAAGAAGATCTAGCAGGCAACAAACGAGAACCATCCTTTCACTGGATTTACTTCAAAGTTACCGTAAGGAGGGGCAGAAAACATTAAAAAAAATCTTTTTTTGTGTTGAATTTTACAGGAATAAAAGGGATACAAGAACACATTAAAAATTATGTTACTTCTTGGATCTTGAAACTCTTCCTGTCTTTTTTTTTGAGAATAAAAACTCTTCCTGTCTCTTGAATCGATGAAAGTGAAAAAGGTGCTGTATTGATGGTTTATTAATGATCATCTTCAGTGGGGTTTAACAAGCAATTGTTAAGAATAAGAAGAAGCTTAAAGTTCTGAAAGTCGGTAAAGTTCATGATTTCCCCTAGCATGATAATGTGGAATGTGTTCTGTAAAAGACGCAATCAGTGAGGAGTCATAATAAGTGCATATATTATTGATAATTAAGGCGGTAATATTTTGCTTTAATGAGGTCAATTGTAGGCCCAGAGAAGCTGAGCTAATTGATAATGCCAGCATGAATTGGGCCTCTAACATCATAGACCAAACCTGTAAGATGAACTGTCAGAATGGCTGTTTCTAAATGCAACTTAAAAGCTATTGATTATTATCTTTGACCTCTTCAGGTGCAAGTGGTTCTAAAGTCACAGATTGATATTTATAATTATAATTGTTTCATTAAAGTACTCAATATTCATTATGAAGATTCTAGGCAAGATGCCCAAGGTGTTTATTAACTAGAGAACACACACACACACACACACACACAGAGTCAATCATCTATTGTCAACACCGCTACATAAGAAGATGCTGTTTTCTGATTTTTGAATTGCATACATTATATTGTCTGGAGTGTTTAATTTCATAAAGGAAAACCTACATTCCTATAAGCACCAACCAAGTTTACAAATGTTCTAGGGATTTGCAAGTACTAGTTCATAAAATCTTTCATATTTCAAATGAAGTCCCGGAAATCATTAAAATTGCTATTACTCAAGTTATTATGAAATGAGTCCCTCACATCATTAAAATTGCTATTTTTTACTCCAATAAATAAGTTTTTATTGAACGAGGCCCTCCAATCAGAGTAGAAATAGTAATCGGAGGGATTAATTTGAATTAACCTATGGGTTATGAGAATTGGGGGACCTAATAGCAATTGCAATGATTTGAGGGACCTAAAAGCAACTGCAATGGTTTGAAGGACCTAATAGCAATTCTTAATTTGAAAATAACTTAAAGAATTGGTGGAACTAATAGCAATTTAAATGATTTGAGGGACTAATGTCGAAAAAATGAACATTCTACATAGTACATTGGTGAAACCTTTCATTTAACTGTTATCTTGTGCAGGATGGATCCCTGCCTACAGCTCCTCAGGAGCCTGTCATAAAGAAAATATCAGATATCTCCGTACCAAAGAACAATCCTGCTGCTTCACCTCCAGTAACTAATAGCAGTTCCTTCAGAGGTGAAGACTCATTGATGAATGCAGATAATTTGGAGCCATCTTTCAAACAAATGGAAATTACTTCTCATGACGAGAGAGCAACAACAACAACAAAAAATCAGAGCTCATCTGATGTTATGGAGAGAGCACGGGCTGCCATTGCTGCAGCTGAACGGGCTTCTGCTGCTGCTCGTGCAGCTGCTGAGCTGGCAAAAGTTCGAGTGGCTCGCCAGGCAAGCAGTGGTAAAAGTTAAGAAGATCCTGTATAGAAAATCATATCAGGAGGTAGAAGGAATTGACACGTGTCCTCCAGCACAAATCTTAAAGCTTAATCCTGGTGGTGAATAACCATTCAACATTTCTTGGGACCGTTCTGTACTGTACAAGGGAAGTTTCCCTTGAAAGATTGTATTGTGATTGTTGTGTGAGGATGTGTATATGTGTGGCTTTAGTAGAGAGTGTATAATAACTGAGATTGCATTTGCTTCAAATAAATGCCTTCCTCAAGTTCCTTTTATTGGTCACGGGGGATGAAATGAGTAAACATTTGATATTTGTAATAGTAATACAGAGGAATATTCATTTTATTTAGTATTCTAAGCAATATGGTGAGCAAAGCGGACCATGTAATACGAAGTGCTGACAATGATCAGTGGTGTGCCGTGTGATTCAAATTTGGTGCTCGACTATCTGGAACCTTTTTCGTTTTCATTAATCTATTATTATTAACGTCTGATATTTTTTCTTAAAATTGTTTGTGGTGTCAAATAAATTGATTGTAATTTTTTAATCGGTTTTTCTATAGAGTGCTCATGGGCACTCTATAAGAGAGGAGAGAGATAGAGAGAAATGAATGAGGAAAGGATCCTAATGCAAATCCGGGGGCCCCCTCCTTATTCATTTCTTTCTATCTCTCTCCTCTTTTATAGAGTGCCCATGGGCACTCTATAGAAAAACCGTTTTAACCGTTTTTTAATAAGGTGACTCTATTTGCTAACAATTACTCAATTTATTACTTCGGATGTTAGGGCAAAAATGGTTTTTGTTGCTCGAAAATGTAATGAAGTGTTTAGATGGAATAGTTCTAGCAAATAATTTCCTGAAGAGCTATTTATATACAAAAAGAATTGAACATTTATTTATACTAATTTTCAAATTTAAATTCTTGAAAATAAACTGTCTGACAAATACATGAAAACGGAATATATGTATATTAAGATTCTCACTCAGGTGAGAGTAATGCTAAATATTTTTACGTTTAGTTATAAAGAAGTTTGTATAATACAAATTCTTAATATTGAAAACGTTATGAGTTATCCTCAAAATAAATTATAATTTTTCATGGGAATTATAATTTTAACATATTGAATTAAGTATGCTATGCACACAAAAAGGTACATGTATTGATGTATGTGTATACGTATCCTTTTATACATTTTTCTTCCTTTTTTGTAGGATCATACATCTCATTCAATATAGCATATCGGTATGCACAAAGGCTCAAAATATTGAAATACGTACTCTTATTTTTATTTTTAGTAAAGGCCATATTCTGGTCTTTGATTTACAATCTTACTCATCTCAATCCTCCATTTTACATAGAACCACAACGTAGGAAGGAGGGGAAAACTTCAGTGGGTTCTTTGTTAAAAATCATGTGGAAAGTACACCTAGCAAAAATATTAAAATTGTTAGTTACTAAAACAAGACACTTCACCTATCCTAGGAAAAAAATTAAAAACTTCTACTTATCTCTTGATGATTTTCTATTATCAAGGACTTTTCATAGGATTTTTTTTTAAGTCAAGGCGTATACAAACAAGCAAGCAAACTCGCACATGAAAAATGTTCGCTTGACGATTCTACAGTCAACTTTGTAAAGATCTGATGATTGGATTAAACTTCAAGAAATCGAATTCTACGGCATCAATTGAAGAATTCCTCCCTCCTCCTCTGGTCTCTTTTCTATTGGCATACTTTGTCTTGGGTCAATGACATGTTGCTTTGAGTCTAAAAGTCTAAACTGATAGGGTCAAAGTCTTGGTGTCCATAAATCAGCAAAACTAGTGCAAGCAATTGAAGTACAATCGGAATATGTCTAATTCAATCACGGGCTTTGAATTATAATGACAACTTTCTTGTTCTACTTCCTTTCTAAATTAAAGTATAGAAATAAAAAAAACTTCTAAATCATGTCTGAAAAAGATAGGCACCCTTCGTTAAAAATTATAGCGTCGCGTACAAAATATTGCATTGACGTAAAAGGTCTAATTAATACTAACACAATTAATTATACTGATAATGATTAATACTAGAGATTAATGCGTATCTTTGTCATAGGTTGACACCTATGTGACACAATCATCACCATCCTCATAAAGTATGAGAGAGAGTGTGTGAGTTGGTGGGGATTTGTGCCTAATTTATGAGGATGGTGGGGATTGTGCCACATAGGCGACAAGGAGGGAAATCTCCTCTTATGACAAGGATATCCGTTAATCTCTACTAGTATTGTATATAGGGCGTACTGATTTAAAATTGATAATGCATCACGTGCCACTGTTTCTTCATGCCCATTAGGGGTCAGATAATTTATCCTATAAGATGTCTTTTTTCTCGGCTAAATACCCATATTGGTATTTTAATTCAACCACATTTGCCAACAAGGTATTTTAATTAGGAAATTCAGGCTAAATACCCATATTGGTATTTTAATTCAACCACATTTGCCAACAAGGTATTTTAATTAGGAAATTCGGCGATAAGACATTTTAATTGAATAAAATTACCATTTAGGTCCTTTTTCTCGTCGGCGGCCACTTTTCCGGCGAGAACTCATAACGCACGTGGGGGCTTAATCTGTGTTTAAGATGCTGATGTGGCTCTCCTTTCTCTCTCTAAACCCCCTCCCCCATTAAACCCTGACCTCCTCGGCCTCATTGTCTTCAAGTCCTCTCTTTTAGACCCAACCTCAGCTCTCTCCTCATGGACCCAAGACTCCGACGACCCCTGCAACTGGGCCCACATCAAATGCCACCCTGAGTCTCGCCGAGTCGTCGAAATCTCTCTCTCCTCCCTCGGCCTCTCCGGCAAGCTCAATCGCAGCCTCCTCAACCTCCAATCCCTTCAAAAACTCTCCCTTTCCGACAACAACTTCACTGGATTCTTGATTACAGACTTAACCCAGCTCCCAAATCTCACCCACATTGATCTGAGCTCCAATGGGCTCATTTGAGGAGATACCCACTAGGTTTTTCTCACAATGTGAGAGCTTGGTCGATGTCAATTTGGCTGGTAACAAGTTGTACGGCCAGGTACCAAGCAGCATTGGCTCTTGCTGGAATCTTGTAAGTTTCAATGTTTCGTCGAATCATCTCTCTAGGTCTCTGCCTGATGGGGTTTTGAGCTTGAGCAGTCTCGAAAGTTTCGACGTTTCTGAGCTTGATGGGCTCGACGGGGCCGGACATCTCGACCCAGCGACCCAAATGAGCGACGATCACTTTCTGCTGGACGCGGAGGTAGGTGGAGAGCGCCTTGGGCGTGAAGTTGGTTTTTAGAAGGTTAATTCCCTGCCACGTCAGAAAACAGAGCCACATCAGCATCTTAAACACAGATTAAGCCCTCACGTGCAACGCACGTGATGAGTTCTCGCCGGAAAAGTGGCTGCCGACGAGAAAAAGGACCTAAATGGTAATTTTATTCAATTAAAATGTCTTATCGCCGAATTTCCTAATTAAAATAACTTGTTAATAAATATGGTTGAATTAAAATACCAATATGGGTATTTAGTCTTTTTTTCCTCCGTCAATAAGACGATTAAAGAGAGAGAGATGAGAATTGACTATTGAGGAGATGACATTATCCTTTGACCCCATCCACAAGATATTTCGGTCACTGC